GGGTAAACGCGGAGGCTGCTTCGTAGACCGCGATTACCAATTTAAGGAGCTCTTCTTCCCTCATACGTATGGATTTATTCTCTTGGAAGATATTGACATGCAAATTCGCCTCTCGCGCGAACCAGATACATGCTGTGTTACATGCGCGTACGCGTATCCATCGCGTTGCCGCAGGAATACGACGACGTAATGTGCATAGCGAGTTATAGCGTTGTAAGATTTCATCCCCTTGTCGCCCGGCGTCACATTGATCTTGCCTTGGAAACGCGCAATCGATTGCAAGAAATATTTTCCAATAAAAGTTTATGTTATGCATCGCATTGTTTTTCAAATATCGTATATTATATTATATTAAATTCGTTCATTAACCACAAAAATAAATTTTTATCCATTCAAATGAGAAGTATACTTTCAACATTTTCTGCAAGAAAATTTGTCTAAAATATAATAATATGTATCGAGTAAATTATAATCTCAAAATAATAACAAACGTATAATTGGTCTTTTCTGTCTTAGATTTTCACGTCTTTGTGCGCGATATATTTGCAGATTTTAGGACTGCGGGGTCGACGACACGCTCGTCCGTTCGTAATAAAATGAAAGGGGGAAGACCGGGATGTGTCGACCAGAGGGGTGACGCATCCCCTAGGCAGTACCGGGAGAGAAATATTCCCTGCTTTCACGCTCTAACGATATAATAAATCCCGTGATGTTCACATCGCATCTCTCCGCGAAGTGCTCCTTTAATTTGCGAACCACGTTTAACTTTGTAGCAAAAGTAATAGCTTTGCTTTGATTATCATTTGTATCTCATTGAAAATATAATCCGGCATTTATCCGCACGAATTTTGTTCTCATTAATTCGTCCATATATTACAGAAGTAGCGGGCATCTGGAGAAATGAAATTACACGAACACGCGCACAGACAGTTCCATTTCTCTCAATTTCCGAAATATCCAGTTACTGTTGTCCTACCCTGACGTTTCGAAACTCGGCACGTTCTCCCGGTTATGGTGTATCTTGCGTTGCGTATTGTTCATACAAGGAGTCCGCGCAGAAACTGTATTGCCGACTATAACATAAATATTGTTTCACGTGCGACGGCGGAGCGAACGACTTCGCGTAGCGAATCGTTACCGCGTATATTCCGTCAGCGCCGTCGCGCTGTCATCATCGCCGTCGCCTTCGTCGTCGTATCCGTGTCGCATCGCCTATACCTCGCATCGCGTCGAGGCACTCGGGCCAGGAAGTCGCGTCAAGTTCGCTAATGGGATTTACATCTTGGCTCACTTCAGGCAGCAGGCGAGATCCATGACGCATCTACGCGACACGGAACGACGATGTCTGTCTTAACCGTTTGATAAACTGAATATAATAATAATTATCGCGCTAACCTTACTCTTTCCTCTCTCTTTTCCCACCCCTTGCCGATTTGTTATTTCGAAGAATGAATTCCAATTAGTTGTGTGCGCGAAACTCAAGCAACTTTCGCGAAGATTTGAAATGTGTGTTGCCGCGATCGAGAGTGCCAAGAAAATGGCTAATTAATCCGTGCTGCTCTTAATGAAAATGCTCTCGAAATGATGCGCGCACGTCAAAGAGAAACTGTAATTTCCTTCGAAATATACGGCTTTATCAGATAAGTGTTTAAATTCTATATAATTTTACTAAATATTATAATTTACATAAGAATTTATTTTTATATGCAACAAAAACAGCATCATAGTGCTTAATTCTCCTAAAAATATTTTTGGAAATAATTTGCTGATATAATATGCCACTAATTGCAGGAAAAAATTTATGAGCAATCCAAACAAGATAACTCTGTCTGGGATTAAATTTAATCTTTGTCGATTTTTCGATAAGGAAAAGTCGCTTAATTCCGTAATGCCCTTAATTCCGTGATATTTTCTCAACATTTTGTTGCCCAACTATAGACGTTAACTAAACTTCGATGAACCGGTAATTAATCGATAAAACGTAGTCACATCCGAGAGACAATTTTATCTAAATAAAAAAAAATTTGACTACGTGACGTTACGTAATTAAAAGATTTAGCTAAAAAAAGATTATCATTAATTATGATAATTGCTTTGCCGACGTGATATTTTTAAAAAAGATAATCAAAATAAAATAGACAAACGCACACTAATTGCGATAAAACCAACTAAATAGTTGGTTAGCATCAACGTTCCTCGCCGATACGCCGACATTGCCGCTATCACGCAAAGGTATTCCAACTACTCGTGTCCGGATATTTAACAGTCGCTCGCAGAAGCTTTGCCTAGACGATCCTCTTTTTGCTGGCGTAATCGCCAAAGCCCCGTGAAGCTCAAGAGACGGCGGTCCGCCTTTTGCTTTTCGCGCGCGAAGGATTAACTCCGTCCGTCCGTTCCGCACGAGCTTTTTCTCCTGCGCGACTGAGCGGGGTGTACGGGTGGCGAAGAGAGAAAAAAAGGAAAAATACGGCGAAGGAGGAAGGTAGATTAGGGAAAGAACCGCGGAAGTGAGGATGTAGAAGAGAAAAAGATGTGTAAGGGGGATAGTCGGACGGAAGGTTCTGAAGAGAAACGAAGGCCACCAGGAAAACGAGCAAATTCACGTTTTCTATCGTACATGCGTCGCCGCGGTAAAGTATTCAGCCATCCTCCCTCCCGTCCATCCTTTCTAGAGGGCTGTCCGTGGCAACCCCCCTTTTTCCTTTTCCACTTACAGAGCATATAATTCCCCCTGCGCCCGTGCATCATACACTCACTTATTTTTGCGCTACAATGAACCGGGCGGACGTGGTGGTGGGTTAAGCTCGGGGGCGGTTAGCGGCATCGCGGAGAGAAACAGAGCGAGAGTCGGAGCACGGGGGATGAATGGAGCAAGCGAGAAAGAAAGCGAGAGAAAGGGGGCAAAAGGGGAGAAAGCGCGACCCTACGAGCCTATGCCCGGATAAATTATTACTTTCGTCCTTCGTGAAGCAATATCTGTGCTAATAGGAAATCACGAAGGGCTTCTGGGCCTTGCCGCGCTGCGCGCCCTATCGTTTTCTCCGCGGACGCCCTTCGCAGCGAAACCAGTCAGCCGGCGACGGCGAAGCGCCAAGAAACGGTCGCTATTCTTTTCATTGCGGCAGTAAAAGCGAGGTGAGAGATTACGATCGTCGTGCTAAGTGCGACGGCTCCTATTCATGACGGCTTCTTGGTGCGTCAGCTCGCGACAGGTGGGGAAAGGACGTGGTGGTAAATGGACGCGGATCGCATCACGAGAAATCGGGTACGGTCGTAATTTGCCGGAGTGCTATTGAAACTTGCACATCTTTCTTACAATTTTCTACTATGTTAGAGACTCATATATACATATTTTATATATACTATATATATAAAATTTAATAAAGTCAAACTAACTTTGGCAATTGCTTAGTTGGATATTTGCAAGTTGTTGTGCACAGAACGTGGTTGCGATTTAAAGAGATTTTAAAAAAAATCAATTTTGTTAGAAAAACACGATGTTTCTCTTGACATTCATATTAGTTTACACATCAAATATTGGATATATTAGAACCTAAAGGCAATAAATTAATATCGAAGAGTCCATGCGATTTTATCCAATATATTCAATTTAGTAGAATTGTACGCGCATCCTTTTCTCATTATTATTATTTCTCTTCAAAGTCAAATTATGTTTTGTTCGTAAACAAAGCGATTTCATTGCGTTGATATTGCTACGCGAATGACGTTTACACCTGCGGAATTTCATTATGCAGCATCTCCCCCGAATGACATTGCGCAATAAACGAAATGACATTTAGAAATAAAAGTTCTTATTATCGCCGATAGAATACCTACAAGGGAAGATTAAACTACCTCGCTTGAAGCAATTTAATAAACAGACTTTAGATTTTATTATCCATAACGCGACTCAGGACGTAAAAAGAGAATTTTCTGACAAATTAAAACCGCTATGATTAAATTGACGGTACTCTTGGGGTATGATAAGCGGCTGATGCAACATGTCATATCGCGTAATAAGAGATTGTGTCACATTTAACGTGTCCATAAAACTAACGATAGAATTCTTTTCTTGTATAGATATTAATGGAATATACGTTACAAATAAAAACTTTTATTTTGATTTAGAAATATTTTAATAGTTTGTGAAAGCAAATACGTTATAGAATGTGTTTTTATCGATTTGGATTACGAATTTGCACGTTATGAACGAATTTTAAACAGTATTTTGTTCCAATAAATTTCAATCTTAATTGAGTATCATGAGGTGCCATTAAGTATTATTGAAAATTTATTCATCCGGATACGATCACATAATTTATTACCCATTCGTTAAAGAGTTAAAAAATACATTCGCACATTTTAACACCGACACGCATAAAACATGTTCATTAAATCCGCTCAATAATGATTTAAAAATTGTTAACGCAGCTGCTCCGTAGATTGGAAGAATTATTATACTCTCATTATACGTAGTTATCCCTTTCGTTTCCACGTTTAAAATAATAATGAGAAGTGAATACATTATAACAATTTGTTCCAACATTATTTCGATTGTGATTAAAAACGTTATTTTCGCGCAGTTCAATAGAAAGCTAAATCCTTTGACAAAGAATCAATAGTTAACTACAAAAGGACCGCCATCGGCAAACTGCGCCGAAATAATTTCTCAACTGAAATCACTGGACGAGCGTCAGCTGGTCTGCTCGGAGAGTGACGAATCACTAGCTGCCCGCGCCGTCACGAAGCAGTTTTTCTATCCGTGTGCCCGCAGAAAACGGTGGAAAGGGTAGAGATAACTAGTTGCGCTTGTATACTTTAGGACGAAAAAAAACCATCACCGATAAAAGTTAGTGCGAGAAATGGGGAGAAAGGCGAAACGAGATCCCCATCTGTAATCCTCCCAGCGCTATAAATTTGAAGTATATTAAAAATAATTGCCTCGGTTCTGCCAGATCTCCCCGCATTAAAGTCTCGCTTGATAGCACAAAGGTACTCACGAAAAAAAGGCGAGATTCACCGTTTCCTCGTAGATTGACGTCAAGTTTCGTCGTCGCTGACCACAGCGCTATCAATTTCTGTAATAAAAATTATTGATCTTATGTATTTATCTCAGTATCAATCTCGCGCAACTTTATCATTAACTTCTCTTGGTCGGCACTATAAATTTCAGCGAACAATTATCGCGACAGATGCGCACGCCGTAATATTATAATGCCATTCGTACATAAAAATCCACGGGATTGCCCGAATTCTTATCGCCATGAAAATCTCACGGAAGTGTCGCCAGGCTAGGTCGGTCCGCGCAAGGAACTCTCGGGTATTGGATGTCCGGGATAGTACAGACGTGATAGGGGTTTGCGCGAACGTAACGCCTAAAGTTAGGGCATAGATACGATCGTGAGTAAGCGGACGCACTTGACTGTAAACGGCGTAAACGCAGCCACCGTGCACTACAACGGGGATTATACGGTCGCTCTAGCGTAGCAGAATCCCGTTCCTCGAGGCTCGTACCGATATTGCGTAAATACTGCCCTTCGGCGGCAAGCACTGAATTTGATAAAATATTAGTATACGTTTTTAGGCGCTTTAGCCATGTACGCGTGTGATTTGCAAATTTCTAAAAAACTGAAAAATTTACGTGGATACTAGTATTAACTAGGAAAATTTCTATATTGCCTTGGGGAATTTACTATAGCTGTTGCTTGATTATACTTTATAAACTGCCTGAAAATATTGCCACCGTAGCGCACCACCCAGTAATTTTTAATTTAAAGATTAAAGTTGAAATCGATTTGCATTTCCATAATCCATAGATTTTTTGCAATCAAAACCCGCATCAATATGTGAAAGTATTTAAATATCATAAAAAAAAATTAATATTCTCGCTTTGCACGAATTGCTATTAAATTCAATTTCACACAACAAATGTAATAGTTGCAAACGGGTTAAGTTGCAGCTTTTATGCATGCACAGAACTCCGAGAAGAGAAAGAGACGCATCATGTGTACAACAATAAGGCAAGCTGCTGCAGCTCGTATGCATTCGTAAGAAGACTTTCGCAATTACAGAGTGAATTCAATCGACTGCGCAATAAAATTCTAAGAATGCATATCGATAAAAGTATCTGATCTCAAAGACACAAAGTATCGATTTGTAAAAGCTCCGATAGCGACACCGATCGGAAATGAAATACGCGCTATTTTTGCAATTCGCTTCTTCGCAAAGATTCAATGCATGATTTAAACGTGTCAAGAACTTTCAGAAAATTTACATTGCACACAGAAATGGAACACGACCGTCGCGAATAACGGGGGATTATGCCGTAAACTTTGGAAATTGCGCTATCTCGAATGTAAATTATAAATCGGCGCGTTGTATTTTGCATCCATAGACCGCGCTGATGCTTCCAATCCGAAAGTTTCCATGAACATAATTTCCAGACGCCAAAAGGCAAGCTACGCAGACGGGTTATCTTTCAAATTACATTCAACGTTAAACATATCATACAGCCCGCTAGATGAAGGAGAATATATGGACTAGAGAGGAGAAAGACGAAAGCCGGGGCATGAAGGGCGGATCAAGAATTCGAGGGAGAGAAAGCAAATTTCGAGGTTGGAGGAGCGGATGCTCACCCCGTAACGGAGGGTAGCTTCTATGATTAATATGAGGACGTCGCCAGGATCAGGACAATTTGCGTAACATCGGACGAAATTGATCTGGCAGCTCTCAGATACTACTCGAAACATTACTCGTCTTTCCTGAAAATGTTAACTATGTATTCTCCGATATTACATTTTCGAAGTTTCTCTAATGTTTCGATATTGAATCGTTGCGATTGAATCGCTTATGTAACAATGTCATAAGAAATTATGACATTAATATTATAATATTGATCACGTAATAAAATATGTTTTAGTTTCACGTATTCACACAATACCGAAAGATTATATTTTATGTTACGCTAATATTAGATTTCTATAAATTAATAAAATGATATAAATATAATAAATAAATTAAACGATTTAAACGAAAATGCATTAAATGTGTTGCAATATTATTGATTTTTTAAAACAAATTATTAATTTTAATTTTAATTTTAATTTTAAGTAAACGGATAGAAATATAATGATATCTCCAATAACAAAAACAATTACATTATGTAATTATACAATTAAATTTCACATGTCAATATATTGATATTATTTCAAATAGCCACATAAATCATCATCAATTAGCAAAGCTAATAAGATTGATTTTCATTCAAAAGACAACTTGTAAATATATTCCCTGCATGTAATATGCTACAATGATATAAAAACTTTCTTTTTAATTTGTTGCATGTTCCGACGACGAGTAGGCACTCAAAATCGGAATGTCCGCGTTTTATGCAACAAATATGAGAATTGGTTACCAACAAAGATTGTACGGAATTGATTATGGAAATAACAGTTCTACAAAACATGTACGCAGGCTAGGAGCAGATTCTGAGCAAACAATATCGGTACTAAATAGCAGAAAGCGCAATTAATTTAGATTTTCAGCAATATTGTACTTCGTTCTATCATTGTTCTACGTAAATACCACTGCAGTGATCTATTCAAACATTTCAACGAAAACGTTTCCGTGGATCTACGGAAATTGCGTTATTGTTGCCTGTCGGCGATTTTGGTACACATACATACGCACACTCACACTAACAGGATTTATCGTATTTACCATATCTATATTAGAATTTAACAATCCCGATACAAAAATAGACGCCAAAAATATCTCACGTTAACTGTTAAAGTATCATCAAAATGTAAAGCGCAATAGCTATTACTTATTTTTATCCAATAAAACATTAATAAAAACAATTGCTTTTTTAAAATTTAAAATGGAAAAATCCAAATATAATAAAAAATTATAAACTTAAATAAACTTAATCGTTATGGCAAAAATCTGTTATTTAAACAAATAAAGATTAAACTTCAAAGATATTTTAGTTTCCAGTAAAAAAAAAAAATAATTTTAGTATTGAACGCATTCATTCAGAAATTTATTTTAGCTTGTAAGCTTCTGATATTATTATACAAATAATCTCAATTATCTTAAATTGTTGCAGGTTGTATCATTAAATCTAATTATTCCATGTAATAATAATTATTGCTTGTATTATATTTGAACTTATTATGATAATGCGAGGTTAAAAGAGGTAGTCATTAGGCAGTGGCGAATTCTTTTTAGCATGGTCATGTTGCCATACCAGCGATGAGATGTTCATTCGAGATGTTTTCCCCGTCTTCGTTGTTAGACAGCGTAGTTGATGAGACGCGCGCGGTTCCCTCCGGCGGAAATAAAAATACCTGAAGACGTAACTGCGTCCGGAACCCAAACTTTCCAAGTCGTTACAACGAGCATTCCTTAATAGGAAACTTCGAGAAGGCGGTGCTTCGCCTGTGATTAAACTTCAAATTCTTTATGCTCTTCTTTTACATTGTTATTTTTCTTTAATAATCTTTGCGCATAACCAGCTAATATGTAATAAATTTCTTCTTTTTAACACACGACAGTAAGAAATACAACGATTATTGCTATAAATCTTCATTAAAATATTATGATAAAACTGAAATATCAAATCAATTCTTGAAAGGTCATTGAAAAGTTGCGTGACGTTTTAAGGTATTTTCTAAGACTCCTTAGAGAATGTATGAAAAGTGCTTAAGAACACACACAGCCGTAAAAATGTGTTAAAATGTTATCTCACAACACGATACATATACAACATAAATCTTGGCAAGCGATTGTATTCACTTCCATTTTTATGTTGTATTATGTATAAAACTGAATATCGATTTATTCAACAATGAAATACACCTCCCATGTCCACACATAGCGTCCGCACCAAGAATTTTCATTTGAAATTCGAAAATCAGTAATATGTCCACCGGTATATGACTCGCGCGGCCAATATCACAGCGTCGCTATAACGTGCGAATGAAAAAATGCGTAAAACCGCGGTATTAAGAGAAAGAGATCGCGGCTTTTTACGATCTGCATTATGCTTAGCGGCAACGGGGGAATGTAAAAACGCATGTGCCTTCTCCCCTGACCAGCGACAACTCCGTCGCTCTACACCCCACGGCGGTAGCATTCTTGCGGTAATATGTGTGAAATTGCGAGGGCGCATTTTTAGCTCCACATTTTGAGATTGCATTCCGAGAATAGTCTCAAATTTTTGCCTCATCCGCGAGCTCCGCGGGAGCAATTTTATCTTGCCCGGACTCGCACCCCTGCGCACGCGGTTACGTACTTAGTGGCATGAATTTTGCAGAGAAATTCTACGTTTGCACCATGCAATGAGAACTTCGGTAATGAAGGGTAGGCTGCACCGGGGTCATGGTCGTGTAATATATATATCTGCATTTTCTTTTCATTGCAACGTACGGTTTCGCGGAAATTGCGTACAAAATTTTGCAAATTGTTCTCTCCAAAGATTTGCGTTTAATATTCAAATATATTGCGCGCTAACAAACAGAAATAATTTCACGTAAATACGAGAAATAAATTACACAAAGTAGCATATAATACAAACATATTAATGCAATAAAAACAGTTTTCAAAGTGACATTTTAGAATAAGGTCACAGTTTAAAACTGCACAAAACAATTATTTTTGTAACGCGGCAATATACAGCTCGGAGAATTCACTCGCAGGTTCAATGACCATCGGCGATCATTAAGCCAGATCGGACTCGCGCGCTACCAGCAAATTCCCTCGCAAAACACTTGACTCTATAGTGAAGCGTGGCAAATTCAAACTCGACAAATTCGTAAATTACTGTTCGCGGGAGGGTCTTTCTGCGTTTTCCACTACACGCCGATACGGTACGAATGCATGTGTGTTACGTATTGCAGTTTAAAATGCACGTAACTCGAGTACGGACGTTTCAATGGCGCTCGTGCAAATGTGTCAGCATATAAAGGCTGGCGACTGCAATCGAGGATCGCGAACGATTATGCAACATTTACATTTATCCAGCGCATACGTTAAAATGGAGCAAATGTGCAATAATGAGCGTTCATTCGATTTGCTT